GACGGCCACCGTAGTCGTGTCAAACGACCCGGAAATGTTATGAAGAACTATCAGCCCACAACCCTACATATATATGGTGTTTCTCCACCCCCTTCCACCTCCAAAACTCTATAAAATAGTAGTAAACCATGCAGCCCAACAGCAACACAAAACAGTCCACAAAACAGTCCGCTACAAGTGAATAACTCGAACTCACGGCTTCCGATCACCGTCCCGTGAGTTCTTACATGTATAGAACGAATTACCATGAATTCACAACAGAATAAAATGTATGAAAGAGGGAAGTAACTTACCTTACTTGTTGGATAACACAGCCCTTCCCTTGGTTCTTCAAACTCTAGGTTTTATCTTCAATTAGAACTTCAAAGAGAGGGAAAATTGATTAGGGTTTGTGTGGGATTTTTGGGGAGGAGTTGCAAGGGTTTAATTTGGTTTTGAAGGTCTGAAATAAGGGTGAAATAATTGAGTTTATAATCCCTTAAAAGTCCTCTCTTGGCCGACTTTGGGACTTTTACTTTTGTCCTCTCATTTTGGCAAGTAGGTGATGCACCTACTTGTCACCTACCAATCTGCGCAGACTTGCGAAAATACGAATATCTCTATACTTCGAGATCGTATTGACAAACGACTTAATGCGTTGAAAACTAGACTCATAGATCTTTAATTTGGTGGGTAGATCACCTCGTAATTTCTTGTAAATTGGGAGAAAAGCTTAGAAATATTTGACCTAATGTTTAAGTAAAATTATGAACCTAAGTTGCGACAACGTTTGTCGACTTTTGTTTCATAACTCGTTTGACTTCAAGACTTATGATACGGATATTATATGATTCAAATACCTTAATACATGACCTCTTGAGTGTATTAAGAACCTCTAGGTTTACCTGAAAACACGAGTTACAACATCCTTGATTCGTTTAACTTCTAATACTTATTAATCACCATTATACACCCTTGTATTACTTAAGACCAATAGGATTAACTTCTTATCATCTCAAAGGTAATTCCTTCTTGGATTTATGTTAACTAATATATGACATGGACTAACGCGTGTGGATATGGGTTGTAACATTCTTTGCCAATGATTAGACGATGTTTACAAATGATTGGGGTCCCCTTTATATAGTAGGGGAACCCTAAATAAGGTACATTTCTATTTACAGTAAGAAATCTTATTGGGACAACTGTCTAACCACCTAGTACGGATTCGTACTAAGTCGTACGAATAAATTTCGGAATTTACGCCACGATCTTGGGAATGTGGCGGGAATCTTGTCATTTTGTAACAAACTCACAACGGCTCCATATCGGGGTTGGTCACACTCGACTTCGGTACTCATCATGCCATCCAACCTTCGACCCTTATGTTCTGCCCTCGAACTCGGACCCGGTCCATACAGAATTATCCCTCGATGCGAGCTCTTTGTTTCTCGACATAGGCCCTCGAGCCCATAAAATCGGGGCTACATAATTTTACCGTATACAGTTCCAAAGGAAATCCTGATAGTGCTGGTGGTGGTGGAAATCTAAGGGATCACCTCGGACAATTGATCATGGCCTTCACTGTTTTTCTAGGTGTCACCACTAACGATTATGCGGCGGCACAAGCTATTAATATTGTATTGAGATGGTGTATCGATCATGTCTTCAATAGGCTAACAATTGAATCTGACTCTCTGCTTGCGAACAAAATTGTCAAAAGGGATATTTGCACCTCCTGAGAGATCAAGGATGTTATTGATGATATCCAAGCTACGCTAGGTGATGATTTCTTCCAGTTTAATCACATCTTTAGGTAAGGAAATATCCCAGCAGATCTCCTAGCCAATCTTGTTGAACATGACAAGAACCATGCTTTCTTCGTTGAGCTATAAGCTTACCACGGAAGATTACAGCCACAATGAAGAACAATGAAGGAATGGTCCAAACACTAGAATCAGGGTTAGGAAAAACACCTTCATATTCGACCCCGGGGACAAATATTTTTGGTGGTACTAAGTTTTGAACTTAATCCTTATTTTTAGATGCTTTCAATTATAATGGGAGTGAGCCTTCTCTACCTTATGTTTTGTAGGAATAGTCTTGTCCGTTCTAACCTTGATAAAAAAGAGATTAGGTTAATGCCCTTCTTTTGTTCCTTTTGACTTATTAATATATCCCCTTGAGGGAAATCCTATATTAAAAAAGAAAAGAATATCTTAAATTGTTATATTTGATCTTCAACTAGTAGAAGAAGTCCATGTCGTCGGAAGATTTCAATTACATGTCCTATCAATATGATGCTCTTTACTTTCAAGAGTAACTAGGGCAAGCTGGGTAAATGACCCATTTTCAAATTTAAATTGTCAAAAGACCTTCAAGTCTTAATTATTGTTCAAAAGACCTTATTTAATTAGTATTAATGTTGAATTTGGGTTAATAAAAAGGTGAAGGAGAAAGTTCAGCTTGCAGCCCCAAAGTTTTACTTATTACACATTGGCCAACCTATATAAATTTATTATTACCATTTCTTGAATTTAAAAAAAAAAAAAAAAACATTCACTTCCGCATTCCCCAAAACCCATTTTGTTCCAAATCCGCCCGAAAATCCTCCATTGAAGCTTGCTTTTTCTTTCATTCGTCGTAGGTCAGCTGGACCTGCTCCCTTCTTTCCCCCTTCATCTCAAAGACACGGCCATCGATTTGGAGATCTAGAGAGGGAGCTCGAAGTTTTCGATTTGTCGATTTGGAGATGAAATTTGTGGTACATTGGATTGGGCATTACGTTTAAGGATATATTGTGTTATCTGTTCGTGTGGTAAATGTTTATTTCTCATCTTCTTCATCATTGCACATTTGGGTTTCTGCAGATTTTCTGCTCAGCAATTTGCTCAGTTACTCGAATACTAGGACATAATAGATCATAGAAATCCTTATCAAATAGACTCACGTCGTCCATTAGTTTATAATCAACACTTTGACAACTGATCAGTAATGGAAGACTATATATTGATATATGGTCATTATTCTGTTGAATGAATTGAGAGGTCAAATAATTCATAAATCTGTTTTGAATTTACTATATACCCATTTCAAACTTATACACAACCAGCTCTCCGCCGTTAATTTCACAAGAAGTTCGTCTTCTTCAATGAATCAATAGCACCTCGAGATGATTTTCCTAAGTGCGTTTGTGGAATATCACTGCAACAATCAATGCCAAGTCAAGGTAATAACTCTAAGGGGTCGTTTGGTAAGATGCATTAGATAAAATAATGCATGCATTAGCTTTGTGTATTAATAATACCTTGTTTGGTAGATATTTTTAATCTATGCATTAGTTATGCAAGCATTAGTTATACATTGTATTTGGTATTATCCTATGCATAACTAATGCATAGAAAACCATGGTATTAACAATGCAATGGATTTTAATGCATGCATTAGCTTAGTTAAAGACAAAATTGTCCTTCAAAATTTATGTTTTATGAAAATATGCTTGTTATTATATTAATGCAAGTTTAAATAATCCAAATTATGAAAAATAAAATTATTCCCTAGTAAATAAATAAATACTTAGCATATATTCTTTTTTATAAATAAATATTTAGTTCTATATTACAATATAGGTAGACAAATCAAATAATTTTTTAAAAGTTTTTTCATATAAAAACATTTCTCAACATATGTTTCTTTTAAAAAGTTAGAGTGATGGACTGGTTTTGAGGACATTTTTGTAAACAAACAATTCTTTTAGAAATTGTGCAATGCTTTAATATATCAAACCAAACAATAGATAAGAAATATGTCAGCATAACTAATACCAGCATTACTAATACACCCTATTCAGCATTATTCTTACTCACCCTACCAAACGACCCCAAAGTGTTTATGTGGAAAACATGCAGTGTTGAAGATTACATGGTGTAAATTCATTCTGGGTCGAAGATTTTGGGCATATAAATATCTTGTGAGTAACGATGCAGATTTTATGTTTTATCGTTTAATTCTGTTCAGTAGGAGCTGATACACAGATATTGTTATTTGTTCTTGTGTGTAGGATGAAGATCCTTGTAATTTTGAGAAATAATACGATGAATCATGGCAGCATGATTACTATAAATTAGTGTTGTGAGATTATTTCAAAGGTACTGCAGAATATGAAAAGAAACCGAAGAGAAATATTACAATGTGGAAAAGGATATTGATGCATTGAAGGAGAATCTCAAAGAAGCCGAAGAAAAGAACAATCGGTTGCAGAGGAAATTCATTTGATTGAAGGAAAAAATAATCAGTATAAGAGACTGAAGAACGAAGGGACTATGCTTTTTGTTAATTGCAAAATGATGTTGTGGTTTAATTTTGTTATTTGTACTTTGTGTCCTGAAAAATTCATTTGGTATGACATGTAGTATAATTTTTAAAGCTTTTTGTGTATTTAATCAAACTGTTGTGTGATTGCTTTTTTTATATAATCTGCATAAAAGGGCAGTTACTGCACCCGCTATGCTCGGGGTCCGGAGAAGGACCGGACCATAAGGATCTGTTGTGCGCAACCTTAACCTGCATTTCTGCAAATCCAAAATATTGTGTACTTAATAAATTTTGTATATTCAATTCAAGATGTTATGTATTATTCATTTTAGATAAATAATAAATAGTTGCTCCACTGCGGATGTCATTGTGTTATACTCAGAACCATATGGAGAGGCTCAAAACAAATAATTCCCGAAGGTTGTCGTCGAGTAGTCAAAAGAAGAAAGCACAGAATAAAGAAAAACTAAAAAAGGAAATATAATGTAAGAAAATGTCTTTAGATAAATAATTATTGGTACAAACGCATGGAAGAACAATTAAACTATATGAACGAAAATAAAATCATGTAAATGAAGTTCAAAAGGTATTTTAAATTTCTAATTTTGGCTGGAAAAAATGCAATTTTGAAGTTTCAGTAGCGAGCTTACGCATTCTAAATTTCAATTGTCTAACTCTTGCGCAATACTGATACTAAATTTCAACTTTTTTACTCACTCAGAAAAAGTTCAGTCATGACATTTTCTCAACAACTAATATACCACTTTTTATCGTCACTCTATCAAACATATGTTATCTCTTAGAAACTGAACCCATGGGTGAAGATGTGCACAACTAAGTACCTTGACGCCTACACTAAAGCACCAACTGAGCATATAACATACAGATGGCTTCACGAAGCTTGAGGGCTGGAGAGCGCTTTAAGAAGGCATCTAACAACAATTGACACAACAAAAGATTACAAACCATTTACGAAGTGATCAAAATGACAAGCGCTTTAAGAAGGCTTCTAACTTCTATTGGATATAAGTTACAGTACTGATAATCTTGTCCACGAAATGCAGATAATATCCCCACTGACAATTGAAGGGAAACAAAACTCAAATCAAACTTAGAACCATTTCAATTGTAATGAAGGCCGAATTACACCAAAACTGGGTGTTCATCCTTGTCAACATAAGGAGCTTAATAAAAGAAACCAAGAACCTTTTCACCCACATTCTTCCTTCTAGCCTCCTCGTGGTCCATGATACCGGCAGATGTGGTCAGTACAATGTATCCAAACTGCAAGTTCAAACAAAATACTTCAGTACCAGATAAACTCAGTGTAATACAAGAGACAAAAGAAAACAATTAGCCATTGCACTACATCTACATAGGGACGCCAAAATCTACAATTTCTATTTTCATTATAATGTAATTAACAGGTGAATTTGACTGAGCAAGTACTAGCTACTAATATAGCTTCATAACATATTCTTTCCTATGGCCATTCCAAAAACCTCCACTAGTTATGATTAATTATAAACATTCTTCCAATAACTTTTAAAAAGGAATAAATGCATATAATTTTCCTGAACATAATTTGTATGAGTGAAAAGAAAGCATCACACAAAATGATCTTATGAGCTGCACAGCAAGGATGCAAGGTAGATACCTGTCGGGAAGGCAACAACCTAGCAGTCCATCCTTCAATCTCCTCAACTCCAACATCAAAATGAGGACTAATGACACCACACTTGTTCAATCTACCATTCAATTCAACTACAATTTTTACTGACCTGTGAACATCAACATACTCAAATTCTCCAATGTACCCTACACATAAAGATAGCAAATGTAAGAAACAACAAGGCTAGGGAATAATAACTTAGAAGATAAAGTAAACAAGCTAAAGTACCATGCTTCTGCATGACAATGAGGAACTTGATGATGACTTTGGAAGAAGGTCTAATCATGACTTGACGCTTTCCCCTCTTGTGCATTGTACATGCTCTTACGAGCATCATTCGACACACTAACTCTCACCATCTTCTACCACAATTCTGTTCCAAATCAATGCAATAATCAGGATCAATTGATATCTTTAACAACAACAGAGTACCAAGAAGAGCATTTCACAACAAAATTAAAGTACAACAACCAATGCAAAGACCTGGAGAAATATCAGCTCAGGACTAAGCATATACGTAAAACAGAGGGACACACTCATTATCTACAGCCTCTCGCAGCTAAAACAGCAGGCATCAAGATCATACAAGAAAAAATGGAACAAAAAACAAAACCCGTTTATACAAAACTAAACTACACTATCACCTAACCAAAAGATAGAGATCTATTAGACCCAAATCACCAATTCCTAATTCACAACTTTCTTCGCACCCAAAACTGTCGTTTCCAATAATTCAAACCGTACGATAAAATCTAAAATCACAGATCACCATTATTATGAATCGTTATTGACTCCTAACACCAACAGCCTAGGAAGATAAATAGCTGACAAATGAAAATTACAGTATATCCAAGCAAAAAAAAGAACAGAATGTCACAATTCATTCTCCTTCATCTTTTTTTTTTTTTGGTTTTATCCGCGGAGAATAGCAAACTTACATGGCGCTTTGGGAGCTCTGGAGACAAGGACGGCGAAAAGAGCTGAGATCTACTTCGCACACAGAGAAGAAAATTAGGGTTAGGTTTTAGCAGGTTAATGTATAGTTGCGGGGGGAGAGTGGCTAGGGTTTAAGTTGGGGTTTTCAAGAAGATGGGCTGGGTTAATGGGTCGACTACTAATACTATTGTTGGGTACTTATTTGGGCCTTTGAGTCTTTCACCTTACTCTTTTGTTTATTGAAGAATTTATTGGGTCTTTACACAAAAAACCAGTCATATTCACTGTTTACTTTTTTAGCCATATAGGTAGATTATATGCTAATGATACACGGTTATACACATATAAAATATGAAATATGTTATTATACTTTTACCATCTATTTTTAGTTTAAACGTTGGGTAGGCGGCTATTTGAGTTAATTCTTCTTTATTTTATTTAAAGAATTTTTTTTTAGTGACATTTGAACTTAGAGAACGTTAATTGAACAGGAACGTAGTCCAATCAAATCCTTGCACACAATGAAGTAGGGAATAATTGATTACCTATACAAGACAAGTTTAAAACAAGGAGGAAAAAAAAACAATTTGACACATCTATTCCGCACCAACGGAAATTGATAGTAGAGTAGTTAAGAAATCTATAATAATACCTTCCTAATCTAAGTCATCTATCACCTTAAAGTTTACACACTGGATTAAGAAACTTAACACATGTTTTCTAATCAATTGTTTTTCCTCGACGTGACAGTGTGAGGAGTTAGTGTGTGCAGGTGGAGTGGAAAAATATTTTCTTAGTGTTTTAATTGTGTAAATTGTGACCACGTGGGTGCACGTGAGTGAATGTTTTCATTTTGCTTTTTTTCTTTGAGAGTTTGTTCAGATAAGGATAATAAAGAATCTTGTCATTTGCCAAAAGTTTTTTTGGCTTTTTTCTTTTTCGTTTTGATCCTCAATGTTTAAATTATACTCCTGAACCATGAAAAATACATTTGCATTCATCTGTCACAAGATTCTTGAAATTTTGAGTAATTTAGTTCTTATCAATTTGTTAGAAATTGATAAGATCGGGTGCCAAGAGAGGATATATTTTAGAACGAGTATAGGCTTGTATCATGATTCTTGAAAGTAAAAGGTCTAAGGCTCCAAAGGGTTGATTAGGGATCATATCATTGGTAGGATATGGAATTGTTCAAACTATCATTTGGATCAAAGAGAGCCTATAATCATGTCTCAAGTCAAAATTCACTTATGATTTCGCCTCAACAAACATTCATTGCAAGTTCTAGACCAATGGCTCGGGACTTGGACTTGTAATTCAATTACTTACCACACAAACTAAAGGATTGCTAAAGACATAGAGTCGGGGCCCACAACGACCTTAGATACGATTAGAGCACACAATGGTCCCGAAAAATCACTTAATGATTATCGGTCAACACAAGAGTCTCAAGGTCACGACTTTCACCATCCTAAACACAACCAATTATTTTTTACTATAAGATCAAAGGCAAATGTGTTAGGCCCAAGTGAAGCTTTGCTTGAGGCGCCCTTAACTACTAACTACTAAAAACCAAAAAGAAAAATGGACTCAAACCCTTAGAGAGGTTGTCACGCCATCCATCATTGGGAAGAGCCACCCGGTTCACACACTCCACCTTTGGAAAGAACCGTGGCATTAAGAAAACCAAAGGCTTATTGCAAACTTCGAAAATAAAAAGCTACGAATCACAAATAAGAAGCTAAAAATGAAAAATTTTGCGGAAAATAGAATGAATATATACAGGAGGGGATTTGTCGAATATACAATAGATAGGGATGAATATGTACAATGTAGTATAACTTTATATACAAACCCAAAGTAAAATAAAAGTACGATAAATGTAACTAAATATCAAATTATATACAGACCAAAGATGAAAAATCAAGAAAGCATAAAAATGTATCAATATATACAATCATCTAAAATGTAGGGTCTGTAAGCACGTGATTTTTGCTCCACGGACAATCACTCCAAAATACAATCATTGACACCTCGCTNTTCGATCAAAGATTCGAGCCAAAATCTTAAGTCACCGGATGAGTCCCAAATTCACCCTAGTCACTCCCCTAATATCCCTCATACCCTAATCAGCTTTGGTTCCGGTCAAATATAAGCAGAACTCTTCGAATCCCAAATCTGAGTTCAAGAACCCTAAAAAAACAAACCTGTTTCATTTGAGGTAAGTGTCCTATGTAATCGTCTTTTCTTTTCTCTTGTTTAGGTTTATGCATGTGTTTGTGGATTTGTTTTAGATTTGTTTTTGATTATTTTCTGTCCATCTTCAAAGACCCTTTTGTTTGGTCGATTTCTTTTCTCAAATGTTAATTGAAGTGCTATAAGATGTTTAGTCGCCTCGATTGATGTTGACGACCAATTAAGTTTCATAAACTCTATGTTAAATGCCCCGAGTTTGGAAATAAATTGGTGTTTTGTTTAGTCTGTGATGTTTGTCGATTAATTGTTACGTATATTAGTTCG